TCAATCCCAGCACCAGGGCAGGTCGGAGGAGTGCGATAATGCACAGGGGCGTGCTTGGCACACTGCCTGAAACACAGTACGTGCTCAATAAACAGCAGCACTAACGTCATCGTCATTGAAGGTCATTTCTGCTGCTGGTGTTTTAGAAGGTCTTTGTATAAATTCAGTCACAAATCAGTAAACATGTCCTTTATCCGTCCACACGGCTAAGTATCTTTAAGTGTATGAGGAAGCGAGCTTCAGGAAGTCAAAAAACACATCCAGTGGCTGGTTACTCTGCAGACCTCAAATGGAGCAGCAGAGAAGACCCTGAAAGTATCACGTGATTCTGATCCTGGGAGAAAGGAGACACCCGATGGAGGAGGAGGGGCCTCTGGCACACGGGGTCCCCAGAGCCCGGGAGGCAAAGCTACCAGGCCACGTCAAGCGGGACTTGCCAACGTGGCATCGGAAGGGTGTGGTACTTTTCCCCCAAGCATCCCCCAAATTCCTATATTCAGAAAGTCTCCCACATGTCCAAGAAGCCTTAAATCACAGCGATGAGGGTCCTGAAACATTTTCTTTGCTTACTACCATGAGCACTTTCTCCTAATTGGAGTGAAGATTATGCGTAAAATGGACATAAATCAGAAGGAGGCCAGAGCAATTTCTATCCATCGTGCTGCTCATTAGAAGGTAAAATTCAGGAATGAAAATAAAACCTCCTGGCAGAATTCTGAGAGGGATGATAATGCAGATTTCCATTACCTGGGCTCAATCTGCAGCTCTTTTCCTAAGATCCTTAGGCTGGACTTTGGTCCAGGCCAGTCAATCTGCCCTCGAGGGGGAGGGGAATTCCTTTTCTAGCCCCTCCCCTACTCCTCCCCCAACATGATCCCAGGAGAGAGCCAGGCTGTCTAAGTCTGTAGGAGGCTGGGAGGCAGCCTCCATCTGGTCCTGTGCCTGGCACCACAGCCAGCACTGCAGCCGCTCACACAGAACGGCCCAGCCAGGCTGGGGGATACCTCCTGGGACACGCCAGAGACCCGACAGAGGATCCCTGGGAAGCACTCCTGCACAACCATTCAACGTGCCCCGGAAAGCCCATCTGAGCTTGGTCCTCCCCTTCTGCGCTGCCCCAATGGCTGTGCCTGCAGCAGGTGAGGCAGTGGATGCCCCATGTCCTTCCTCCACGCCACACACCGGGCTGGGAATGCCAAGACATCACACACACCTCATAGTCTAATGAGGAGACCCAGTTACTAAACAGGTGACAAGGATCACGAGAGAAGCCTGAGGTTGGGGCCGGGACACATGGGGGAGGGGAGAGAGACTTGAAGGACAAGGAAGCTGGCCCTCAAACTGAGAGCCGTCCTGTGTCCTATTTCCATCACGTGCACCAGAACTTGCTGATTTTCAACCTGGATGCCATCTTTGGGGGAAAAAAAAATGGCTGATATTCTAATCTAAACACTCCCAGGGGCACACACCTGGTTACTAGAAAAACATCACCAACAGCCTCACTGCCGCCACCAGCCTGCTAGTGGTGAAGTGCTCCTCCCCTCATGTTCAGTGAAGAAGTTCAAGGGCACAGGTGTGACCAGAGTAAGAATGCTGACTCCCCTGTAATGGCTGGCACCCCCAATCCCAGCCGAAAGGAGCCGAATGAGGCGGCTCTAGGTCTGCTCCAGCAGCAGCAGTAGGGCCAGGCAGGAAAGGCAAAGGAGTAATTTAAGGCTGAGCACAGGATAAAGGGGGCCTGGAGAGGGAACGATCTCTCCAGAGAGATTAGGCGGGAGGAGGGTTCCACTCTCCCCTACACCAGCCAGCAAGCCCTGCCCAGGCTGGTCAGAAGATCTTGCCGATGGCATCTGGCTCTGGTGTCCCGGCCCTCAGCAGGTTTGTGACTTCTGGCACACTGCTGCCTTTCCCAGCCTCAACCCCATCACCGTCCAAGGGTCCAATGGGAAAACTCTGCCTTTCTTAGGAGGATTTATCTGCTACACTTGTGAATCCCTCCAAGGGTAGGGATTCACAAACCCCAAGACTTACCCTGGCCATGTACTACATGAAAGGGGCTGTCGGCCTCACACCGAGTGGTCGTAAGTGGAAATGCACAGTGCCTGTCATGTACCTGCCACCTGCCTCTCACTGAACCCTAACGTGTCTAGAAAACATTTCCCCCAGTTTACGGAAGAGGACATCAAAGAAGACTCACTCTTCTCATCATTCGAACACAGGAGGCTCTGTTCTGAACACAGCTGCCCAGCACTGAACAAGACAAACAAGAGGCCTGTTCTTGTGGAGCATACATTCTGGTGTGGGGGAAAAGATAATAAGCAAACAGAAAACAACCCCAGATACTAGGTAATTGCTGTAAAGAGAACAAACCAGGATGATTTGATACAGTAACACAGAGGAAAAGTAGACTCCAGATAGAGGGAACAGCCAGTGCAAAGGCCCTGGGGCATGAATGAACTAGACTTACTTAAGGAAGAGGAAGGAGGTCAGAGTGGGATAGGGCAGGAGACAAGGCTGGAGAGCAGGCCAGGGCCGGACTGTGTCAGGTGTTTCAGAGGTGTTAAGAATATTATAAGTGCAATGGGACGACAACAATGGAGGTCTTTAGGCAGGGAAGTGACACAATCTAATTTCTGGCTGCCGTAGGAAGAACGGACAATGGGGGTCAGGTTTAAAGAGTTTTAGAGAGGTCAAATAAGCAGCTCTGAGTTTCTCCGCCATTATTAGTGTGCATTCAACACCAAGGTTTGTTTCCGCGGTGTCACATTTCATATACTGTAGTACAGTGCTATACCGGAACCTCATGTCTGACAAAGTGGGGTTCCCACTGTCTCAAGTCATCCCACCCTCGCTGCCTGCGCCAGCCAAGTTAGGGTAACTGCTCCTGGCTCTACAATGGCAATTCAGCAACACAGACGGAAACAAAATTTGTTCTCACCTGGCAATAAACAACAAACACGACAGTATAAGGATTTACCCTAATAAGACCAGCTTCAAGTCACGGCTGACCGGGAGCAGCAAGCCCTGGGTGAGTTTTCCATCTCTAACCTGTAGAAGCTGGACAAAGCCGTCCTCCCTCAAGGTGGGCAGCCCAGTAGTGCGCTAACACGGCACTGTGGCATGGGGGAGGCACAATTAATGGGGAACTGCCTGCCCTGCTCCTGTGAGTGGCTAGAGGAGACATTACAACATTCTCATTTATAAACAAAAGATTGCAAACTCAGGTATCTGAGCTGGTTGAGTTCATACTGCTCTCAGAAATCCTTCCTGCTAGAAAGGGGCCAATTAGGCCAAAGCCATTCCTCTGTAGCCATAAGCAGAACTGACAACCGCTCGAGCCTACAATGAAAAGGGAGCCCCGTTTTGAAAAGGGAGCCCCGTTTCCACGGCAGGCCTCTCTAATTCATTTAGTAAGGGCCGAACCCTTACTGCCTGGCCTAGCATCCCACGGGCCCTGCTTTCTAACTGAACCACCAAGACCTGGATTTCTTCTCCAGATGCCTAGAATGTAGTGCACCTTGGGCCATTCTTTTCTGACGAGAGGACCAAGGGGAGCAGAGGAAAGCCACAACCCGGACAAGCAATGTACGAGAGAGAGACGAGTAGGTACAAGGAAAAGGAAATAATAATTAATTTGACTGGAAAACAACTACCTTCTAATGAGGAAAAAGCCCTGCATAGCTGGTGACTTTTTAATCAGAACTCCATAGACACTGGGTGCAAATGTACTGCATGTGAGGCCCGTGTGCACAGGGACCCAGGTAATCCACCAAGAAGACCTCTCCCTCCCTGGGTTGAAGAGTGTCCCCCCAAATCCTTGTCTACCCAGAACCTCAGAATGTGGCCTTATTTGGAAATAGGGTCTTTTCAGATGTAATTAGTTAAATTAAGATAAGGTCATACTGGATTAAAGTAGCCCCTATATCAATGACTGGCGTCCTTATAAGGAGAAAATAAAGAGACACAGACAGACATACAGATAGAACACCATGTGACAACAGAGTCTGAGATGGCAGGGATGCATCCACCAGCCAAAGAACGCCAAGGAGTAGAACAGCCCTGCCAACACCTTGATTCCAGACGTCTAGTCTCCAGAAATGGGAGGGAGCACATTTTTATTTCTTAAGTCCCCAGGTTTGTGATATCTTGTCCCAGGAGCCCTAGGAAATCCATACACACCTCTAGTTCACACCTGTTCCTCAAATCACCCTTCCCAGCCTCAGCCCAGGGGCAAGAGACAAGACACAGAGGCCATGCTTCCAGCGCACCTGGACTCTTCCATTTTCCCAGAACCCATCGGCATTTCTCCCTTTGAGGGGAGGGAAATGCACGTTCACATTTCAGCAGCCCCCACCTTTTCCCACGGCAGGCAAACTGGAAGGGTAGTGTTTGTTATCTCCTTACGACCTCCTAGTTTTGAGGCCTCACCTTTAGATTGCTGTTTCCTAAATTTTACTCAGTCTTATCCTAGAGATATTGGGGGGAGGGGGTGTGCATAACTACGTATGCCTTATACTATCATTTACCTAATTATTCTTCATATCAAGTCTCTAATTCTTAAATAAATTTATTTTAAAAGGAACTGCTACATTGCTACAATAAACGGAAAATCAGTATCATTCACCCTATGCAGAACTTGCTAGATACATGCTTTTACACTGCATATTAAAATTAGTACACAGTAATTATTTTTAAAAGTCTATTCATGTACCATTTAAAATAATCTCGGGTGACAGTACTATGAGAAACACCACCTTAAGGAGTACAGTTTAGTTGTCGGAGAACTCTGGGCTCCTAAGCAGAAAATGCAGTTTAAGCTCTTCAGTCTCGTCTCTCACCCCCGCGCACGGACTGTCCCGGGAGGAAGCTAAGAGCAGGAGGAAAGAAAGGCATCAGGAGATTCTAGTTCCCACGCGGGGCGACTGGAGGATACGGAGCCGAGAGCGAAAGGGACTTTAAACAGCCCGTCCTGCTAGTGACAAGGGCGGGGAGGGACTGACCTTCTCGCGCAGGGTGCAGTGGACGTCCGAGGCGACGCGCCCTTCCCACCACGGCTCATCCATCATCGCGTCCGCAGCGCCGCGACCCGAGGCTACCGGGCTCTCAGGGCGCACCCTGCGTGGACAAGGGCAACCTCAGCGGCCGCAGCGCGCCCCTCGGCTCGGAGCACCCCGCCATCCCCATCCTCGCTCGTCCCCGGCC